CCCTGTGTTGGTGGGAGAGTGCGCGTGCGAGGGGGGACAACTCCAATGCCCTGGTACGTATGCACACCCCAGCCACCGTACTGTCGCTGGCCTGTCCTTGTCTGCTGGCCTCCCCCCCCCCCCCTCCCCTCCTCCCCCGTCCAGGCACTCACCCCTTCTCTCCGCCTCCGGCCGGTGCAGAGCCTGCGCGCCTTCGAGACCCAGCAGCCCATCCTCCCGGCACTCTACCTCCAGTCGGATGTCTACTCCACGGCCGTGCTCCTGTGGGTGATCCTCGCCCGGCGCGCCCCGTCCCATGGTGCGTGTCCAGCACCTGTCTTCCTGCCCCGGGCGCTCGCCCTCCTCTCCCACCTTCGGGCTGGGCGTCTCCCCATCTGGCCGCACTCACATGGCCTGCTCGGTGCATGTTGGCCCACTCACCCACTCACCCACTCACCCACACCTCTACACCTCCACACCTCTACATACACTCACCCACTCACCCACTCACCCACTCACCCACTCACCCACTCACCCACACCTCTACACACACACACACACACACACACACACACACACACACACACACACACACACACACACAGAAAAGCACCGGAAGAAGATTTCCCGCGATACACAGGCCGGCTGCCGCCCCGCCCCAGGGCCGGTCTTCGACCGTTGGACCGCCCCAGACGACCGAGCCGCTGCCGACCGGGTCCTGGGCCTGGTGGAGCGGGCCTGGGCCGCGGATCCAACGCACCGACCCACGGCCGGCGCCCTGCACCGGGTCCTGGTGGACATCCGCGCCGGCATGGCCGGGCCTGCCCCGGCCCAGGCCGAGAGCGGCCCACCCCCCGGCCCCGGGTGAGCCCTTAGCCATGGCCTTTTCCTCGGGCGCTCCCGGGGAGGCGAGATGCCTTTGCACTCGCCTCCCGAAGGAGAGCAAAAAAACAAACAAACAATAAAGACACATGCCTTGCCAGTGAGCGCCTACACACACACACACACACACACACACACACACACACACACACACACCGAGAGAGGGCGAGGGAAAGAGAGAGAGAGACAACGGCAGAGCAGGCCAAAGGCCGAGACGGCAACGGGTATAGTCGACGGGCGAGACGGGGGGGGGGGAGACTGAGCGAAGGGGGCCAAAAGGGAGAAGGTCGCGTAACGGCGCGCGGTCCGCTCGGCTTTCGCCCTGCGCCCCGGCCCGCCCCGCCCGCAGACGGGTGGGCGTTTGTCCCTTCCCGCGGCTGCCTGCGCGCGGAAGGAAAATCGGGCCCGGGGCAAAAAGATGAGGAATTGCGTCGACCGGGAATCGAACCCGGGTCTACCGCGTGGCAGGCGGCAATTCTACCACTAAACCATCGACGCTTATTCCACGGCTGACACGCGCCCGGGGAATATATACCCTCTCCGAGCTGACTTTCCCGTGCGCGGAGCACCCAGTGGCGGTGCCGTGTGATCAGCCCCAGGTCAGCTCCCGGGAAAGCGCATCACGAGCACGGCCATGTGCTCTTCCAGGCGCACGGGGCGCGAAAGCCCCACAAGCCGGCCATGCCCCCCCCCCCCCAGCCTCGCCGGGACGGCATGGCTGCCCCGAAGAACAGGAAGTCCCGTCCTGAGGCCGAGAAGTGCGGGCGGCCGTGCGTGCGCCTCCCAAAAGCCGAGGCAAGACCACAGGGCTCGCAATGACGCCCGATGTTCGGCTCCCCCTCCTCGCCGCCGGCCGGGGCCGACTCCCGGGCCCCTCGCGACTCCGGCCTCATGCCGTCCCGCCCCCTCCCCCAGGAGAGGGTGAGGGCCAGGAACTGCATGGCCAAGGCGCTGCGCTTTAAATCCCCCAGGGGAGTCCCTTCCCTCACGCCTCGATAGCTCAGTTGGGAGAGCGTGTGACTGAAGATCACAAGGTCACCAGTTCAATCCTGGTTCGAGGCAACTTCCCTTTTGCCCGCCGACGCCGCCCCACAGAGGGACGGGGGCTGCGCCGGAGAAAAAAAAAACACCACGCCCAAGGGGGGGAAAGAGAGCATTTTGCCGCACAAAGGGGGGGGTGTATGCGCAGAGACAAAAGGGAAGGGGGGGGGGGAGAACACAAGGGCACACATGGGCGAACATCGCTGTCGCCATGGGGAGGGAGGGAGCCGCCGCGACGCGTCTTTTGCCGGGGACGCGCGGGGCCACGGGGAGGGAGGGGGAAGCACAGAGAAGAGATGCACAAGGACAAGGGAGGGGGGCGAACACGGGGAAGCAGACACCCCGTCGGGATGGACGCACGCCCACGCGCATTCTCGAGAACTGCAGAGCGAGGGGCATGGGAGCGCAGAGAGCGGACAGCGAGGGGGGAGGGGCCCGATGCGCCCGGCGCGACGCCGCCCGCACCACCCCTTCCGTACCTGGCCCCCTGGCCCGCGCGAGGGGGAGGAGGGTCGAGGGACAGGAGGGGGAGGGGGGGGGGGGCGAAGGGGAGCAAACGGCAAAAGCATGCCCCCTTCTTCTCCCGGGCGCGCCCGCGCGTCTGAGCCGGTCGTCCCGCATCAGGCCGAAACGACGTCGTCCGTGCGCTGGCGCTTGTGCCGGCGAACCGGCCACAAGTCGTCGTCGTCCTCGTCATCGCTGCTGGACGCGGGCCGCACCAGTCCGACGCCCGGCGCCGGCGGCGCATCCCCGCCAGCCAGATCCGGCAGCAGGGGGCCCAGGCCCGCCTCGGGGGTGCTGGCCGCCGCCGCCGCCGCCTCGGGCGCCATCGCTGCCACACTGTCATCATCATCATCGTCATCATCATCGCCGCCGTCATTGTCGTTGTCGTCGTCGTCGTCGTCGTTGTTGTCGTCGTCGTCGTCGTCGTTGCCATCACCATCATCGTCGTCGTCATCGTCATCACCGATATCCTCATCCAGCCCGTGCTGCCCGGGCGGCGAGTCGTCCTGCAGCGAAGAGAAGTAGTCCGCGTCCGAGGTCCCATGGCCCAGGCCGTCCACCGGCAAGAGCCCCTCCTCATGCAGGGACTCGATGGTCACGGCCGACGAGGAGCTACACGCACATACACAAAGTCAGTCACAGGGGAGCTCCCCCACCGCCGGTCGTCGATGGCCGTGGCCCACCCTCGCCGTCTCTCCTGCCCCCCCTCCCCCCCCCCCCTGGCACCAACACAAAAAGGCAAACACACAAATGGCCCGCCTCCGCGCGGAGCACGCACCCGACACCGGGGAAGCTCGAGCCATTGCTCCCCAGCAGGCCCCCGGTCACGGCCAGATGCCCACGGCGAACCTTGGAGTCGAAGTCCGCCAGCAGCTTGGCCAAGATCTGACACTGGTCCAACAGCAGGCCAATCGGCCCGCGCAGGTTGTACGTATGCCGCCGGCGCCGATGCGAGACCGGCGACAGCGTCCCCGCGCGGATTATTTCCACACGCTGGCGCGGCGGCTCGGCCACCGCCTCGTCATCGGCCACCAAGGCCGGGGAGGAGCCCCTGGCACTGGAGGCCGGGGCCGAGGACGCCGGCGACGAGGCCACCGGCGAGGTGGACCCCGACACCGACTCGTCCATCGCCTCCTCGTCGGCCTCCTCGGCCTCGGTGGCCGACGACGCTGCCACCGATGCCACCAGCGCATCCAGCAGCGGGCCTGGCAGGTGCGCCCGGCCGCCGGCAGCAGGGCCCCCACTCGGCCCGGCCTCGGATGCCGCCTCGGCCTCGGCCTCGCCCTCGCCCTCGGCCTCCAGTGCCAGGGGCTCCTCGCCGGTCAGGTCGCCCGGCTGCAGGAACCCACAGTACGAGCGCCACTCGGCCTCAATGGCCTCGATGGCCGGCGCCAGCGTCTCGCCCAGCAGGGCAAAGCTCCGCGCCAAATTCACCGTCGACAGCTCCAAGACCGCGCCATCCGACGGGAAGTCCCCGCCGCCGGGGCCCGGGTCGAAGGCCAACGGCCGGCCGCCGGCCGCCGGCTGCACCAGCGACACCGCCCGCTGCAGGACCCCGGTGGCCCCGGTGGCCGCCCCGGTGATGGCCACCACAAAGTCCAAGGCCGCCGAGTGGACAATATTGTCCCGCATCATGTGCCGGCGCAGGAGCTGCAGCAATGACATGATCACCGGCGTCGGGGGGGTGGCCGGCAAGAGGCCGGCGGCCCCGGGGCCCGCCGCCGGCGCGCCCCCCGGGCTGCCGGGGCTGCCACCGGCGCCCGACGACAGCGAGGAAGATGGCGAAGAAGACCGCGAGGGGGAGGACGAGGAGGTTCCCGGAGACGAAGAGCCCGACGAGCAGGACGGCGACCCGGGCAGGGACGACGAGTCGCCGGCCGCCGACCCCGGCGACCGGCCCGCCACCGCCTGCTCCTCCGGCTCCGGCGACGCCGGCCGCACCAGCGGATCATCCTCATCATGGTCGGCACCGGCGTCCGGGCCGTGGGCGGCCCGGCGCTGCTCGGCCGCCAGCCGCCGCTCGGCCGCCATGGTCACCAACGCCGGCGGGGCCACCGGCAACAACAAATGCCGGATGAAGGAGTCACTGCGCATGCTGATCACCGCTCGCAGGAGCCGCACCACGCTCAGCACCAAGTGCGGGCTGGACGCTCGCAGGAGCATCGTCAGCGCCGCCTCCGGGCAGGCCAGGACCTCCGGCGTGCCCGACGGGCCATCGGCCCCGGCTGCCGGGTGCAAAATCCCCCGGCCCAGCACCACATGCGTGGCATACGGATGCTGCTGCACCAGGTACGTCATCAGGTCCAGCAGCACCTGCAGCAGGTGGTTGGCGTCCGGCAATGGCGGCGGCGGCCCGGCCGGATCGACGTCCAGCGCCTCGCCCGGGGGCTGGTCCACCGTGGCCGTCGCCGGCCGATGCTCGCCCAGCAGGGCGTCATCCTCGTCGCCGCCGTCGCCGCCATCGCCGCCGGCCGCACGCCGGGCCGGCACGCGCAGCAGGGCCTCCTTCGGCCCGAGGCAATCCACCGCCGCGAAGTCCACCAAGCTCGGCAGGGGCAAAATCGAATCCGCATAGGCCGACGCCGGCCGGACAATGCACCCCGCCGGCCGGTTGGCCCCGGCGCTGACGACGCCCCGCCGGCGCAGGGCCCGCCGCAGGGCCGCCGGGTGCTCCACCCCGCGCGCCGGCTCGGCCCCATACCGGGCAAAGGCCGCCGCCGCCGCAAAGCGCAACGGCAGCATCAACTTCTGGGCAAACCCCCCGCGGAAGAAGATGTCCAGCAGCTCGTCGTGGTCCACCTGCTCTTCGTCCTCGCGCGAGGCCGCCCCCAGCGTGGACATCACCGAGGAGGGATTGTTCAGCAGGACCTTCAAAATCTCCTGCAGCTGCAGGCGCATGCCGAAGTCCGGCTCGCAGTGCAGCCGGTCCAGCAGCACATCCAGCAGGGTGCTGTGCGCCGAGCCACGCGGGCGAATCTGCCGCAGGAGCTCCTGGTCGCTGACCTCCGCCTCGAAGTGCGACACGGAGTTGGCCTCGCGAAGCTCGACTAACCCGCGAGCCCACACACATGCGCGGGCGCGCGCGCGGGAACACACAGAGGACGAAGCCCGGAAAGAGAAGCCAGGACAATCGGGGGGGGGGGGGGCAGGTCAGTCGGGGCTCCAGCGCGTGCCGGCCAAAAGGGAAGAGGGAGGCCATGGTGAAGGGCACAGACACATGGCCCCCCGCCAAAAAAAGGAAAAAGAAAAAAAAAGCCCCGGCCGCGCCCACTCATGCACGCACAGACCATGTGGGCCCGGATCAGCCCCGGGCGGTAGTCCAGCACCGAGGCCAGGATTTCCAGCGTATCGCGGCGCACGCGCTCCTCCCGATCCCACAGGGCCCGGGGGAAAACCGCAAAAATGCGCCGACTCTCCAGCATCGAGCCGTAGAATTCATCGCGGGCGCTCTCCTCGAAGTTCTTCATGTTGCTGCTGAGCTCCCGCAGCAGGGACACCCCCTGGCGGGCCTGGCTGCTGGGCATGCCGCACTGGATCGGCAGCCCGGCATACTCCGGCACCTCGACACCGCCCTGCGTCAGGGTGATCAAATCAAAGAGGGCCCCCATGTAGGCCGGGTTGTTGACCAGGCTGAAGGTGATCCGCCGCTGGTTGGTGAAGGCCACGCCGAACAGCTGCCGCGACACGAAGTCGTCGCTGCCCGGCGGGATGGCCGGCGGCTCGCGGATCTCCAGGCGCGGCATCTCCAGCAGCTCCGGCGCCAGGGGATAGGCCCCGGAGGCGGGCAGCACCACCGGCATGATGGCACTCGCCAGGTACTGCAGCTGGAAGGCCTGGTGGATGAGCTTCTCCATGTCCGGGATGTCATCCAGGGGCACCGGCTGCAGGAAGCGCCCCGGCGACTGGAGGAACTCCCGGTACGTGGTCGCCGGCCCGGTGGGCAGGTAGCTCGACGCGCCGGAGTGCGATGGGCTGTCGGCCGGGGGGGGGACCGGCGCCAGGACCGGGCCGTCTGATCGCGCACGCATGCACACCACCGGCGTTCGTGGGCGAGAGCAGAGGCGGAGGGGAGCACCAGCGACAGAGGAGCAGTGGAGAAAAAAAAAAGAGAGAGAAACCGGCACGGAGGAGCAGAAGGCCGGTGGGTCAGTCACATGCAAAAGAAAGGGGCCAGCCTGGCCGAGGGAAAAAAGAAAAAGGCCCCCGCCCCCGCGGACGCCCCCGGCGACAATGCGCGCGCGCACACTCAAGGATGCCGATGGTGGCAAGCAGGTTGTCGCCGATGATCTGCTCCAAGATGGCCGAGTCGTTCAGGAAAAACAGGCACCGGACAATGGTATACAGCGCCTGGAGGACATTCGTGGCGCCGATGTCCTCGGCAAATTCGAAGGTCTGGAAGAGGCTCGGGAAGAAGGTGGCGCTCTGAGGCCGGCATACAGCGAGGGCACAGTGAGAGACCATGGCACGGCCAGGGTGTGTGTCAGAGCCGACAGCGCGCGAAGCAGCAGAAGAGCCGAGAAAGAGCGACACCCATGGCCAGCCAGCCAGCCAGCCAGCCGCCGAACCAGCCCCAGGGGAGAGGGGACAGCAAAGAAAAGAGCAGGACCCGCCCCAAGCCGCGGCTCCAGGGGTGCGGGAAAAAAGAAAAAGAAAAAAAGGACGGAGGGAGAAGGCCAGCCCCCACGTACATGCTTGTGCAGTGCCTGGATGAGCGACTCGCGCGGGGTCATCAGCGAACCGAAGTGGTTGGACTTCACCTGCTCGACAATCAGATGCGCCGACAGGAAGCGCGCAACCCGGCCGGCCGTGGAGAAGTCCAACTCCAGCGCCGAGGTGTAGGTGGCCGCGCGCAATTGCTCCTGCTCCTGGCACAACTGGCCCCGGACCAGATTCAGCAAGTCCCAGATCTCGGCGAAATCCTGCGGCGACTGGAAGGACAGGGCCACATCGCGATCGACCCCGTCGTCCTCCGGCGGCAGGTCGAAGATCCACGAGTAGTCATCCGGCCCCGGGTCATCCGCCGACAGGGAAGGCATGCTGATGGAGGCGCCCCCGAGGCCGGGGTCGGCCGGCCGCGCCGGCGGCAGGAAGTGGTTCCCCACCGCCCCGGCCGGCGGCTCGCGCCAGATGATCAGCGAATTTTGCTGATGCGAGTAGTCCGTATTCGGGGAGATGACCGACCGCAGGAGGATCTCATCCCCGGTGGCCGGGCAGATGGCCATCCCGGTGCCGGGCGACGGGTCCGACGACCCCAGCGCCGGGGACCCGCCCCCGGTGGCCGGCCGCGGCCGGGTCACCTGGATGTAGTGCCCGCCGGCCGGGGCCGGCGGAATCGAGCCCCCGGCCGCCGCCCCGGGCCCGGCCGCCGAGCATGAGTACACCCCGATGCCGTGCGCCATCCAGTCCGGCCCGCGCAGCTTGTACACCTTCACCCGGCGACAGGGGGCCGCCGGGGCCACACCGGCAGCGCCGGTGGCGCCGGTGGTGGCCGCGGCGCCGGTGGCGCCGGTGGCGGCCTTGGCCGCGGCCTCGGCCCCGCTGTCCTCCTCATCACTGGCAGCCGAGGGGCTGCTGCTGCCGCTGCTGCTGCTGCCGGGATCGGCACCGGGGCCAGGCTCGGCGCTGCCACTATCCGGGTCGCTGCTGGCGCTGGCCGACTCGCTGCCATCGGCCGGGTGCATGTCGAGATCCTCATCGGCCCCGGCCGTCGGGGTCATGGCCATCGGGCTGCTGGAGGAAGAGCCTACGGGCGGGAGGGTGGCCATGCGGGGTTAGACAGGGGCCAAGGGGATCCGGAGGGGACCGGACGGGGGGAAAGCCACAGCAGCAAGAGGGGGGCGCGGAGGGACAAAAAAAGCCGCAGGGAAAGGGCCCAAGCGCACCGGCACTGCCAGGTGTAGTGGCCTCCTCGTCGGTGGAGCAGGCCCCGCCGCCGGAAGCCGACAGCAGGGCACCGAGGGCGGCCCCGGCTCCGGCGGCCCCGGCGGCGTCCTCATCCGAGTGGTGCATCTCCTCGTCGGTGTCGGCCCCGCCGGGCAGCCCGTCCAGCACCTCGTCAATGAGGGCCAGCGTCGAGGCGGCGTCGGCCCCGCCGGCGGTCGGCTGCTCGGCCAGCATGAGTGCCTCGGCACCGGCCTCCGGCGACAGGTGCAGGAGGGCCCCGGCGCCCTGCTTCAGCAGAGACAGGCTGACGGCCGCCGAGGGGGTGGCCACGTGCACGTGCGGCTTGCCGGCCGGCGAACCGGAGGGCACCTGCGGCGGTGGCGAGGCGCTGGTGCTGCTTGCCTCGGGGGTTTGCGGCGAGGCGGCCGTCGAGGCCCGGAGAGGGCTGGCCGGGTCGTCGGTGGCGGTGGCGGCGACGGCGGCGGATGTCCCGGTCACGGCAAGGCCGGCCGGCGGGGCGGGGGAAGGGATGTTGGGGGAAAGAGAGGACGTCTCGCCTGGCCCGGTGGACTCGGCGGGGGTGCTCATGGGATGGAACATCAACTTAGTCACTGCCGGAGAAAGGGGAGGACCAGCGCACCCGGACCGAGGAGGGAGAGGCAGGGGGGG